AAGGGCTCTATTTCCGTTTCAATTTTACCAAAAATTTGTTCTCTTTTGAAAGTAATACTGATTTACATGAACAGACTTTACTTTCTGATTATTTCTGTTCTTTTGATGGATTCAAGCAGGTACCAAAATTTTCTTGCAAAATTTCCGTTCATGATAGACTTAAACAAACAGTAATAAAAACATATAGCATATCTTACTTTTGGATTGGTATCTTACCGTTTCTGTCAGATGTTTGTTTCCCCTGTAATAATTACGCCAGGAAATTGTTGACATTTATAAGCAATCTTCATGAAATGAAACCAGGTGTAAAAATGCATTTTAAATAAAATCGAAACTTTTTTTTTATATGTAAGTTAGCTATCGAAGCGCATATTGCTCTTGTACTTAATTTGGCTTTTTTTTTTGTCATTACCATACATAGATATCAAATGTCATAAAACTTGACATACTGATATTACAAAATCACACTTCAACTGAGTTCGAAAGTTGAGAGATAAGCGCCAGCTGCTTGTCTCTGGAGCACAGGAAGGTCTGAAATAGAACATCTTCAAGACTTAAACATGCCCGGGAGCTCAGGATTTTATGGTTCACAAGTCGCGAAAAACTCCTCTCAACCGGAAATTACCGTCATCATTAATAGTGCTTTAAATGTTCCACTGATTATTTTCTCCATATTTGGCAACGCTGTGGTGCTCGCTGCCATTTTTAAAACACCATCAATTCGTTCATCGTCTATTCTGCTTCTCTGTAGCCTGGCAGTTTCGGATCTCTTTGTTGGCACACTGATTCAACCACTTTATATAGCCTCTGTACTTACAAGAAATAAACTTCTGGATAGTTTGTAGTTCACGGTGTCATTTGCCGCATGTGGGATTTCTCTTTGCACCATAACAGCCATCAGTGTCGACCGATTTTTGGCTCTTCACTACCATATGCGTTATCCATCTCTTGTGACGAAATCTCGAACAGTTTACTCGATAGCGATAATTTGGTTATTGATATTACTTCTTTCGGGAATTTACTATTTAAATCCTTTTGTTTATTTCTTCCTCGTAGCTCTCGGCGTGGGCATTTTTTTATTGATATCAATTCTCGCCTTCTTTGGGATCTACAGAATCGTCAAACGTCAAAAACTACAGATCAATACTCTACATGTACAGCTAGCGGTGCAAGCT